CAGTCTTCCCTCTGACTGGTCCCACGCACTGTACCCACGGCTCCACTCACTCTCTAACACTCACACACACACACTCACACACATACACACACATACACACACACGCTCTCTCTCCCACAGTCACACACCGGGACGACACAGACCTGGGAATCTTGAGCGTTTTTAATTAGCGCTCCTCCACTGACTTCCGGCCGTGGACATATTTTATATTTTCCACTCGAATCTTCCTTCACTGCGCATCGAGCTCGGACTGTGCTGAGGTGTGTGTGTGTGTGTGTGTGTGTGTGTGTATGAGCTGTGATTTGTGATTTTTTTTTGAACCATTTTACCCGGAGATGATGAAGATATAACGGCTTGGTGAATGGGAAACACCAGCGCAGAGGTAGCGCCACCTTCCCCCCATCTTGACAAGCACCGCCAGTCTTCCTTTAGCGACATTTGCGCACACGACACCGGTGTGTGCGCTCTGCGGGGCCGGGCAGAGCGCGTCGTCTGGGAGGAGTAGGGAGGAGGATGGAGGGGTTTTTCGTGGAGGTAAGACTCGGTTCTTATTCCTGTCACTGTTGATGAAACCAAAAAAGGTTGACGGAACCTTGGACGTTGACTGACGTTCATGTAGCCGCGGGACTGCGTCGACGTGTGTGTGTGTTTGACTAAAGATGTATATCATTCTAAATGATCCGAATCCAAACCAGGTTCGGTGGCGGCAGGTGATGCTCTGCCTCTGTTGACCTGGATATTTTACCCCTTCTTGGATCAGGCCTGCATGTGTCACTTGTCGCCCAGAAATGAGAGAAATCCCCGGTGGTTTTTACCATCACTGCAGAGTATCGGGGCCTGGCTGCCGATACCGGGGCGAGGGGATGAATTCAGAGAAGAACCGCAGATAAATTGGCCGAACGGGAGCTGACACGGTCCCGTGCACCAAGCAGGTTTCCTCTGTCCAGAACCAATGTGTCAACAGGAAACACAGCCGCTGGATCTGCTGCTGCTGCTGCTACAGAGCCGTGATGCTGCCCTGGAGGCAGGCGGCTTTAGGGTTATATTTTAGTGCCCTAAGAATGGGATGGTGGTGGATGTATGAGTGGGTATGGGCCGGCACACGTCTGCGGGAAATGAGGAGGGGGAGAAACAGGAGGAGGAGGAGGAGCAGGGATGAAGGGTACGTGGGTGTAGAATGGAACAGTAGGGATGAAAAGAACAACAGTCATTATTATGGAGTATTAGTAAAAACCAACACGTTGTTCTTCGTCCCTCGTCTCCTGTTTACCTGCACCATGATGGATGATATTGATTGGTGGAAAATACTGTCACTTCTGTGAATGTGCTTTAAGTTTTCATTTAAAATGTCCGTTTCTGCTTCACACACCAACTATCGTTAGCCATTTTACTGGCTATACGTTGTATTTTACACAATTCTTATAATTCTTATAAATACTGGCTTCAGTGAAACATAGCTTAAATTTCTATAAATTGTTATAATCCAGTTTACTGTTGGTCATGATTGACAGCTGTCAACTGTCCAATACTAAAGTTGCTTCTATTTTGATAGGAAAATTTAAAGATGTTTTCATCTCCTACCGAATAGTTGTGCCTCACTTCCCTTCGTTCTTGTCAGATACATCGCAGTTTTCTGATTTTTTTACGCCATGTTCTATTGATGTAAGTTTTTTTTTTGTTTTTTTTTACAAATAATACACTGAAATCTCCTCTGAACTTCACTGATTATGAACTCTACAGGGCATTCTGACTCTGTTGGGTGAAAAACAGCACAATGTGAACCATGGCATCAACATGTAGCACGATGAACGAGAAGCACCGGGAAGAAAATGTTCTACCTGTGCACCTTCTTCAAACGTTAGCTCTTCTTCTTCTTCTTCGGTCTATGACTGCTGCCAGTGTTATTAGCTCCTTATAAATGTCCACCAGTGATATGTTGCAGACATACTGTATGTCCATGTACTGTATATGTTACAACCCCCACCCTCACATTCTGACACAGTGTGTCCATGTTTCTGGCTCTGTTTTTACAGAGGTAAAGTTAGCAACCATAACCTGCACCTCTGTCCGTCTCTTACGTCTGGTCTATAATTAACAAAAAACTGTATTTATAGACCTTTATGCACAAATTAAATCAGTCTGGGCTGTATCTCCATCACATTGTAGTTGTTAAAGTTTGATGTACAGGAAATGGATCTCGTAATTCCACTAAGTCCAATCATTTT